GTAACAAAAATAATTGAACTGGAGTGCTCGATTTCAACAGATTTAATTATTTGAGTAGAACAAAACAACCGCTCAAATCGAGGATCACTGGCAGAACTTAATGGAGCCTTTCTTTAATTTCTGCTATATTGAAACAATCTAGAATTGATATTTCAAATTTATCCAATTGAAACTATGAAAGTGTGCCACAGATTTATGTGATCTGTAATAAGCTGATCTAAACTAAGTTAAGAGTAAGTTAGCAAATGAAGTCGAATATTATAAATAAACCTTTTTATAGCTTTAACACCATCAAATACATTGATCTAATTTTGCCAATCCAGAACCCAAATTATTAACATATTCTAACTCTATATCATGCTTCCGAGAAGTTCGTTTACATTAAAAAAATATTCAAAAAATGTTCTTGCAAGTCAATCGATCAAATTCCGTCCTTTCGTCAAATTCTAAATCTGTGAATGAGTTGAGCGACATAAAAAAAATATCACATAATAATTGAACGGTGATTTTACATGTTTTGACATGTCATTAGCATTTAAAAATTAAAGAAAAGATATATTATACATTTTTGGATGTAACATTAAACGAGGAAGAAAAAGTAAAATTTGATATTTTCGTATGGTGTCTTTTAATTCCTCGCACAATAAAATAAAAGTGTGTGCACATTTTTATGAGCAGTTAATCACTTTGAATGTTATGTCTGAGATGGATTTGATTTCATTTAAAGTGGAAAGTGCCACTTGTTTAAATTCTTTTGAAGGAAGGCGATGATGGAAGTTTCACAAGGACTTTGTGTTTATGCTGTATACACTTAAGTGTATACACAATTAAGGATCTAACATAACTCTTTTATTCCATATATTTGAATATAGACGAATAAAGAGACTAGATGTATGTAGTAGGAAGAACATCAAATAAAACAATTCAGTGAATATGTGCAGCTGATGATGCTATGCGGGACTCTTTTTCTCTCTCTCTTATTCGTTCGTTTTTATTTCGGTATCAAATTTCTCATAATCAGGAAGCACTTTTTCAACAGAAAAATTTTATTTTCATCCTTAAATATAACGCACTTTTTTGTTTTTATTTCAACATTGCCGTCATTTCGAGGGTTTTCCAACATTTTATTGTATTATCGAGGGTCTTTTACTTATTCCGTAACGCTGAGAACTGGTTTTGAGCCTATTTGCTGTCAGATACCATCCAGTCAGATAATATTCATAGGATTACATGACACAGCTTAAAAGTATCTTTACTCTCAGTAATTTAGTAAAGAACGTCAAACACTGGATCCTATGAAATTTCATGAATATTTAAATAGCAAAGCTTCAAACTCTGTCCTCGTTTGGATCAAGGGTGTTGTACTGATGAAATGATCAAAAATGATCAAAATTTAATTTATCAGTTCCGCACCCTAGGTTTGGATCAGACAGTACCTTACTAAATCTAATCTATAAAGAGCTAGATCTGTGGTTGATAATATTTAAAATATTAAGCACAGTTCCATATTGTGATCAGTTGTGATCTATTGCTTTGGTTTGGTTTTTCTCGAGGATTTCTTGGATTAAAGGATGTTGCAATACCTGGAAGCAGAAATAACAAAAGCTACAATACAGATACGTTTTATTAGTCCATATAGAAGCAAATGGAAGCTCCTTTTAGTACTCCTACTTGATTTGTGATCTTTTATTAAGGATTTTGAATTTCTTCGCTAAGGTACCCTTCGAAATCGATAGAATTCCTTTTTTTTTTGAACTCAAGAATCAAATCTATACTGCTTCACATCACCAATGTATGTCTCCCAAAACAAGAATTTTCCATTCGCTGGCAAACATAGACAGGAAATTTTTTTAAAAACATTTTATTTGGATCAAAGGAAATGAAAAGAAAAGTGTCGTTAATCTGACTTTTATTTGGTATTCAAGTACCTTAACAATGGCAACAACAACAAATTTTCAATTTTCTCTATTTTTTCCCGGGGATGTGAAAAGCTAGCTGGTATAGAAACAACAAGAAGCATGAGCATTTTTTTGTTGTTGTTCTTATTGTTATTTTATACAACAACCCTCAAAACAATCCCCTCAAATTAATGTAATGTTCATTTTTAGGTCGATGCTACTCGTTATTATATTAAATAGCTTCCTTACACTCTTGAATGTTATAAGATAAAAATCACAATAAAGAGAGGCAGAAAAGGGAAAAGAGTGGTTCAGGAACATATGTTTGTTGAATTTAATAAGACTTGATTGCAATAATACTTGAAAAAAGTACACTTCAATTTTCTTTATATACAGCAATCATCCTTAACATCCTAACTTTAGTTGTTTTTAATGAAAATTTAAAGTGTCACTTTAATTGACTGTCATGCTCGTAAAGTGAATTAATTCCATTTTATGAAATTTATCATTTTAAATTATCTCCCGCTTGTCTGGTGTCATAATTTTTATTTCTATTCCTCCTTCCGTCCCTAATGATATGTTTAAGTGAAAAATTTTCATTCTTAATTTGATCTCTGGGGAAAGTCAATAAATTTTGTTTTTCGTCGTCACCCTACTGTACATAATCTATACAATACGTTATCTTCAAAACTTGATTCAATTTGCTTTTCAACACATCCTTGATACGCTTCGGTTAGGATATGATGTTATATAATTTTATATTCATTACAATTGGGGTAAGCGGCTGAATATAATGAAGAGGATTTTTCATTATTATTATTATTATTTTAACAATTAATTAAATGAGATTTTGTTTTCTTCGTCCTATGCAGGAGGTTTGGTGAAATATTGCTTCGGTAGCGAACTTTCGTGGGATTATTGAGGATTTTTTATGCAGTTTGTCAATTTCCTTTTAAGCAGGTTTGTTGCTTAAATGAATCTGACATGGTGCTAGCTTCGATTTAAATCCAGCCAGATCTTGTGCCATTCCAGAATCCGCTTTGATTAAAAATCTTAATTTTCAACGAATCTGTCTTATCCAAGTCTAGTGTAACCAAGCTGTCAAGAGTTTCTTTAAATATTGACAGAAACAGTACCCAAAAATCCCCTTTAATACGACTCTGTCACAGAATGTCAACTTAAACTATTAATCTGCTCTAAACCTCTGAAATTATCGTTGAAGTTGCATTACCTAGAAATCTTCAACAAAAAAAATTATCTAATGATGTCATTAAAGTACAAGCGCTTTAGCAAATCAGATTCTTTAACAACTTTAACTTCCTTCGAGTACGAAAGGTTTACACACACGCCTCATTATAAAAGTAATTTTGCGTTTTACATATTCTCACAGTGTATAATTTATCTTTTTTTTTTGATTAAATGAGAAAATTGCTCTTTGCTATGTTACGGCTGGAAAAACTGTAGAGGATGAATAGACAGCACACGTGCTAGAGCGTATCATCAAGATGAATTTATATTGTAAATAAATCCTATTAAAGAACGCGCAAAAAAGTGTATCCATAGAGATGGATGTACGCACACGGATAAAAATGAAAAGGTGCCAAAATATAAATAAGGATTTTTTTGGTATATCCTATAGTCATAAAGCAACAAGCATGTCAATCGTATTAAAATGAGTTATTAATTCAATTATTCATTTATACGCCGCCGGTGCACACTCATTGATCATAATCATTTGTGCAGACAAAACACATGTTTTTTTTTCTTTCTTTAAAATCATTATTTCGTATGATATTATCTCAATTTGTATCAAGTGTCAACGTCGTATTTAAGGCCACTCATAATCATAATATTGGGTTTTGAGATGTTGAAACTTTTTTTCTTTCTTTCTTTTTTTTTGGATGAAGGAAATTTTCTTAAATATTTTAAGTATTTTATGAGATATTGCAATGCTTTGCTTATGTTTACGTGTGCCAATGGGACACACTTGAGAATATTAATTCAGGCTAGTGTTAATTGATATATTGTTTATGGTGATTTCCAGTGATTTCACGTAATTTCAGTAAGAAAATCAGCACTAGAAACTAATCTCTGTTGTTCCTTGTAGGCACATCAGACAGCGATAAAGTGATTCAATCTTAAGCAGGTTACTCGAAACATTTATACTACAAACTTGATTTGATATCATGATATTTGGTCACATTCAAAAATGATACTAGCTAGGCTGTCTGGATCTCATATGAGACTTTAATTGTTGAAATTCAATATAAATTTATCTACACAAACTTTAGAGTAGCTACAAAATAGTAGAGTTCCCTTTGTTTTCCATCATTTGGCTCACCCTGTTTCAGTACCTATTCTCTTAAAAAAGACGGCATGGGAATGTGCAAGATAAAGTCAAAAAACTTTACATGGAAGAAGAATTTCACGGAAGTTATAAAAAAGTATTTAGTTGGAATGTATCAAATGACGCAATAATTTCAGAAGGAAAGAGATGAAAAATCGTAAATTTTGATTGATGAATTATTTTGTGTCTGCAGCATGTTCATGTATTATGAGTATTTTTTATGAAGGTTAATGCTTGTCTTAACTTTTTTGTGTTTCATTTGATCTCATCTTACTTTTTGGACCAAGAAAATCTCATTTGATTCATCATCATCTCAAAAAATTAAAATTCCTTTTGTATGTTTGTAAAATGACACTCATGTTTACATGCTTCATTTTTTCAGCACTTCTACATCGTTCCTTTATATACGGTAAAGTGCTTGAAAGAAATGTGTTGAAAATTTATATGATGAGCCATAAAGTGCTTACAACTGTGTATCTTAATTAGTGCAAATTTATAGCTAATACTCATGTTAGCGTCGTGAAATATTAGAGGAACTAATTTTCTTGAAAATATTCATATTTTCTCTAATTTTGATGTACGCATAATTTAAATTAACATTTTTGATTCATTTGATAATTTATTTGAGCGATTAAAAACTTCAATAAAACTAGCAGTGATAAATTTCACTTAAGTATCGATAGATATAAATTTCAATAGGTCTCAGCGTGTACTCTATTTAACGACTATTTCAAATTCAATAATCTATGTTCGAGGGAGAAACAACATCGCTGTAGCAGCATTTTCAAAACATTGCAGTTTAATTCATTAAAATCACTGCAAAGTCATGCAATTGACACTTATTAACTTATTTAAGAATACTGTCCCAGGACATATATTCAGAGGAAAGCGACGTCTAGTGAGAGAGATCAAGTTTAGACATATTAAGAAGAAATTGGATGATTTTCAGCAACAAGAAAGAAATATGAGTTTCTTATTGAATCCATACTTAACAGCTGTAAGTAGTTAACATAAGTAATTTATCAATCAAAATTAAAAGCTGTTATAATGATAATTTACAGGAACAATCAGCAGGACATGCAAAGGCGCTGAACAAAACTGCCGCAAAAATAAAGTTTTGGTACGATAATCCATTAAAGCAACCAATGAAGCCACACGTAAAGATTGAAGATCGTCTAAATCACCTGCGAGTTACTGAAAAATGGGAATAGAATTATTATATAATATAGTTTAGTATATTTAAATAAAAGGATTTAAAAAATTAATTACAGTAAATTTATAGTATAGAGGAATCAGCCCTAAAAATAGGATCAATTGTCGATTTTGGAACGTTAAATTTGTATATTTACAACTCGGAATTGAGTTAATAACTTTTAAAATTCGGTCATATTAATGAAGTATTTAGAGTGTTGTATAGACTTATAGACTATTTTAAATATCCCTAAAGCACGTCCTAGTGTTAATTTTAAAAGATTTTATATATAAAGTGTAAAATTTGTGGATTAATAAGAAAGAAATCAGCCAACAACAAAGAATTAGACTAGAAGAATTTTTGTATGGGTAGTTATTTCTCAAACATGGACAATGAAGAGCATTTGGAACCTGTAAGTGACTCAGACGACGACTTGTTTCAAAACATCCAGGATGATGATTTGTCAGAGCATTATTTGGTGATTATTTTGAGACAATTAATTGACAGGTATGAGCCAACGACGCATATTAATGATTTATAGCTTATAATTAGCATTGATTTGTTCTATTTCTCTCCTGGATCATAGCGGAGAGATACATTTATTATCACATAATGAGACTCGCGATGGACAATTACCGAAGATATCAAAAGGTCCAAATATGGATAAATTAAAAGTATGTCTTGTGAATAATGAGAATGTATTGAGTAACATAATTTTCTTTCTTTTCTATACTTACTAACTTGCTGTATCTATAGGCAACTGAGATGTATAATCAAATCAAAAGTGCTTCAGGTTTTGGCAAAAAAGTTGATGAGACACAAGATTACAAATGGTCGCTTGTGAATCTAATTAATACCCGTCAAAATAATGGAAAATTTCTAAGGAATGAAAAATGTAAAATTAATAATATATTTCTTCCAAATCAATACGAGCGTCGTCTTGGATCGTTTGGTTCCAAAGTCTTTTGTGGAAGTTTTACACGTGATGGACGAAGATTTGTTACTGGATCACAAGATCAAGAGATTAGAATTTTTGATTCTTCTACATCAAATTATAAATCGTTAAATCATATTAATGCAAAGCATGTTTCATGGTGCATTCTCGATATTGCATTTAGTCCTTGTAGCCAATATTTTGCATATTCAACATGGTCGGAATGTCTTCACATCTGTCCAATGGACGGTAATGACGAGGATGTGCGTTGCTTGAATTTAAACACAAATGTAAATCGATTTGGAGGTAAATACATTTATTAATCTATGCATTAATATAGACTTTAAAACTATCATATCTGTAATTAACCCACTTACTTTTCCTTTTAGCCTTTGCTCTTGCGTTTTCAAGTAATGGCAATGAAATCATTTGTGGTGGATCAGACACAAGTGTATACATATTCGACAGAGAACGTAATGAAAGAACTTTAAGAATACCAGTTCGTAGTGATGGACATATTACAGATGTCAATTCAGTAGGATTTGTTGATGACGCTTATCATTTATTTTACTCAGGCAGTGATGATGCATGTATAAGAGTTTGGGATAAACGGTGTTTAAATGAAAACAGTCCAGAACCATCAGGATGTTTGCTTGGACATATTGATGGAATTACCTACATCGATTCAAAGAATGATGGACGATATTTACTGTCAAATTCTAAAGATCAGTCAATAAAATTATGGGATATGCGATGTTTTTCACCGCGAGAAGCTGAAACAAATATTAGAGCATCACTTCAGACAAGACACTGGGATTATCGATGGGACAAAGTTCCTAAAACATGTGCGTTACTAGTAATCTTATGAATTTGGAGTTATATCTGTGGATTTATTTTTTAATCCTAGGTTTAATCTAATGCAACTCAAGTGTGCATATTTGCATGAAATTAATAAACCTTTATCTTATCTAATCCATTCTAAACATTAGATTACAACGTCACAAAGCCAATTCAGGGTGATACCTCAATTGTGACGTTTAAAGGACATCGCATCCAGAAGAGTTTGATACGAGCTAAATTCTCCCCTGCAGCTACAACTGGTCAACGATACATTTATACTGGTTGTGCAACAGGTCGTCTTATAAGTAAGTCTTGGCATGACTTTCATGACTTAAATTTGATCATTTCCATTTCTTATTTAAGTTTACGATATTTTAACTGGAAAGATGGTGCAGAATATTGAAGGACATAAAGACATTATACGCGATTGTGACTGGCATCCTAAAAGAAATGAAATCCTTACGAGTTCTTGGGATTATTCTGTCAATATAAATACATTCCAGGATAAATTGACAGAGAAAAAGCGTTCGAGAAACCCTCCAACATCCGACTATTTAGATGAGAATCAAGATCTTATGGATGTAGCACCACCACTTAGACGTTCACGAAGAATTGCGCAAAGACTTGCCACGGCAACAAACTCTCGTCGTAACTGATTCATATTCTTTTAAAATGTAAAAATACCGATCATTATGACTTTATATTTCGTATATGTTCACAACACACACAACGGGGATCATTTACAAGTGACGTATATCATAAATTGGATTGTGGAATTTAATGCTGTGTGACTTAGTAACTTTTTTTGTGCATGACAAATGAGGTAAACGATATCAGTCATTTTTGATAGACGTCATTTGTAGTCGACCCCGAAAGTTAATGATGTAGAAATAATTATTCTGTGAAAATGTGCTTGGAATTTTGAAAGTTATTATTAAATAAAAAGGAAACCAATATGTTACTATTTGATAATCGAAATTTATTTCAAATTACTTGGATGCTCTTCTTGGTCTTTTTAATCTTTGTTAAAATCTTTCTCGGATTAATTCGTTCTCTTGCTATTCTGTCCATATTGTACAGCGCATACTTATCGTTATTTATCGCATCTTTATTTCCCATTTTAGTCTCGACCACTTTTATTTCAATATCATCTGTCATGCCATATCCAACAATATCTCCAATATTTGAATAATTAAATTTATTAATCTGCACGTTGACCATTTTTTGTGCTACATGCGATGGAATTAAGACGACATCTGTTGCATAAACAGCATTAGCACCTCGGGGCCTGTCAACATCCAAATTTGATTTATTTTTATTATTTGATGGTGATTCTGGGATTTGATTACTCACTGCTTGTGCTGGTTCCTCAGAATCTTTTGTCTGCTTTTTCTTTTTCTTTTTAATGATTTTCTCATCTGTTATTTCCTGTGTTGGAAGTGGCTCTTCAATGACTTTTGATTTCTTTTTCTTTTTGGCAGGAACTTCTTGTTCTTCCTCAACAGGTTCTATTAAATCTGCCTTTTTCTTTTTCCTCTTTTTCGTATTTGATTCTTCGCTATTTTCAATTGCTTGATTTTCGATAATTGGTGCTATTTCTTCAATTTCATGGTCGTTGCCATTACATTTGCTCTTCTTCTTTTTCTTCTTGGGGATTTCAATAGTCTCAGACTCGTCCTGGATCATTTCAGGTACTATATCCTCTTCAATAAACTTTTGTGAATCTCTTCTATGTCTGCGATTAGTTCCATTTGCATTTGCAAGCTTCTCTTTCCTTTTTTGATTAAAATATTCAGTGATAGAAACTCCTGCATTGACGATCAAGTCACTATTGTATGTATCAGGTCTGTAAAATGACAAATCAACTAATAAAATACAGGATATAAAGACATTAGAATTAATTAACTTACTTATCAACCTCAACAGGTGTAATCACTTCCTCTGCCTTTAATTCAGGTTCTTTAAGTGATTTTTTGCCTAGAATATTAGCTAAATCCTTCGCACTGTATTTATAGACATCCTTTCCTCTCGTAAATTTCTTGTAATGTACTCTAGCTCTTGACTGCTTTGACATTTCTTCCAATGACTTTGCTGCTGTTTTAAGCTCTTTCTCGTCACCACTATTTGAATTGGAATTAGACTGCGAATTAAGGTTCTTAAGCAGTGAATCAAAACTTTCTTCATTTTGTGTCCATTGATTATCTTTTAGTCCATCAAATCCTAATCCATTGGCATTATTCTTGTAACGCACTTGAAGAAAATCTAGATTTCCTTGCTGACTCTTTCCTAATCCATTTCCTTTCTTCCAGCCCATCGATTGTAACATTTTTAAGCCAAATGATGACTGATCATCGTCTAAAATACAATTTTATTGTTGATATACTTAATTACAGTATTTTGTAGGTACTTACTTTCATATAGAGGCTTCCCTTTGGGCTGTAAAACCAGAATTTGCTTCTTTCTTCCCGCTTCAAATGTCATCTTGCTGAATTTAATTAATTTCAAACCGAGTAAAAATACATGTGACTTTTGTTTTGGTTTACAATCAAGCTAGGTATGGAAACTATATTGTTCCAATAAAATAATCCGACCGAATTCAAATTTTACAAAACCGTTAAAAAGTTGTAGAATTTAAAAATGAATAAAACGAACATTTTGGATAATTTAATTAACACTTAAGCCTTTTATTTCTTAAATTAGCATATTTCTAGGTATAAAAGAATCAAAGTTTTTGGTAGAAATTAATCAAATAAGAAGAATGGATTGGTTTTTTTTTTGTATATTTAATGAAAATGTCTTTATTTTTAGTAAGTGTTGCATTCTGAAAATTACACAAACAGCAATTTCTTATACGTTAGGTATTTATGCAAACATTCAAATACTTTAAGTAGTTTTAAATATGTCATGTAGAAGAAAAACATTAAATACTTATTTTTTCTTAAATGAATTCAAATCGAAGCATTTTTCTTTTTTATTCATTTTTTCTGCAATATTTTTTGGAATGATAAATTCATATCTTTTAAGAAAGTAATGTAATAATAATTAAATTAAATTTAAATGTATATAAAAAAAATGTAGGAGCAAAAATTAAATATTTTTGACAATTTTTCTTCTTGGTGGAATGTAAATGAATGGAAAAATTCAACTGTGAAATGCAATGTGAAAAGTTTTTTGTTTTTTTATGAGAATGTCTTGTGTCTTTTATGTTAAATTTTTTTCATTCATTCATATTTTAAACTTGCATGGTTTATAATGCGACCGAAAGAGAATGTATCATAAATCCAATTTATATTATAGAGATGTAAATGTAATATTTTTAACTGAGATGAGTTTATGTATTTTTTTCATTTTTAAATTTTGTGCAAATTTCAGATTCAACTAAAATTGCTAAATTTTAGATATTTTTGTTTTTAATTAAGATGTTGAATGGTGAGATTCTTTCCATTTGATGTTCGGTGATCTCCATTTGCTTGAGTTTCTGTGTTCGTAGATCTTGATTCTTGTATTTTTTACTTGGAAGGTGGTAATTGATTACAAATATAATTAATTTAGAAGCATTTTCTGTGAACAATTGATGGGCCAGATTCATCATATTCTTGCTTGCTGATCCACATTTGTTGGAAGGTTGAGAGTGAAGCCAAGATTGATCCTCCGATCCAGACAGAGTATTTACGTTCTGGTGGAGCAATGATCTTAATCTTCATTGTTGATGGTGCGAGTGCTGTAATTTCCTTTTGCATACGATCAGCAATTCCTGGATACATTGTAGTACCTCCTGAGAGGACAGTGTTGGCATACAAGTCCTTACGGATATCAACATCGCACTTCATGATTGAATTGTATGTTGTTTCATGAATACCACAAGCTTCCATTCCCAAGAATGATGGTTGGAAAAGTGCTTCTGGGCAACGGAATCTTTCGTTTCCAATTGTAATGACTTGTCCATCGGGTAATTCATATGATTTCTCCAATGAACTTGATGAAGCAGCTGTAGCCATTTCTTGTTCAAAATCTAATGCAACATAGCACAATTTTTCCTTAATGTCACGAACGATTTCACGTTCGGCTGTGGTTGTGAATGAGTAGCCACGTTCTGTTAAGATCTTCATCAAATAATCAGTCAAGTCACGTCCAGCCAAATCAAGACGAAGGATGGCGTGTGGAAGGGCATAACCTTCATAAATTGGAACTGTGTGTGAGACACCATCTCCTGAATCTAAGACAATACCGGTTGTACGTCCTGAAGCATACAATGAAAGAACAGCCTGGATGGCAACATACATTGCTGGTGTATTGAAGGTTTCAAACATAATTTGTGTCATCTTCTCTCTGTTGGCTTTTGGATTTAATGGGGCTTCGGTGAGGAGAACTGGATGTTCTTCTGGTGCAACACGAAGTTCATTGTAGAATGTGTGATGCCAGATTTTTTCCATATCATCCCAGTTAGTGACAATACCGTGTTCAATTGGGTATTTCAAGGTAAGAATACCACGTTTGCTTTGAGCTTCATCACCAACATATGAATCCTTTTGTCCCATACCAACCATAACTCCTTGATGACGTGGACGTCCAACAATTGATGGGAAGACAGCTCTTGGTGCGTCATCACCAGCGAAACCGGCTTTGCACATTCCTGAACCATTGTCAACGACTAATGCGGCAACTTCTTCTTCACACATTTTGATTTCTGCAAGAAACAATAGACATAAAATATTAATTATTAGAAATTTCTTTCACTTAAACTTTCGTAAAAAAGACAAACTTCAAGTTCCCACGCACTATAAAATTCAAGAGAAAGAGAAATATTCCGAATAGAAAAAGAGAACTTTTAGGAAGCTTTACTTTTTCGTCGTTTCTATGCTATTTATGGAGTTACGATGAAATTCTTTTAAAATCTATATATAGAAGTAAAAAAAATCAACCACTTTGCAGTCAGTTGCTGTATCTTTTCTCATCATCGCATGTATGCATGTCTATGTGTGCGAAAGAAGTTAATTTCAAAATGAAATACTTTAAAGGATGTTAAGGCACAGACTAGAAGATGTTATTTTTTTTTTCATTATTCTTTTCACTCTGGTTCTTTTAGTCGATTCTAAAATTGGCTTCTTACATATCTCTCTTTCCGTATATCCGTTATTAAAAAATGAAGATGCCGAAATGGACAAAAAGAGCAAGAAACAAGTTTTTTTTTGTTCTTGACACTAACACAATGAAATCTTTTTTTAAGGAAAAAATGTGGCTTTATCGGCTTTGTTCATGAAATCACAAAATATTGATTAAATTAATGTATTAATTCAAATAGGATTAATACAAAAGTTTAATATAGATCCTATTGCTACTATCAATCGATATCCAGACCAATAAATTCTACTGTAGCTTGCAAAAAATTGATGATTATTAAAAGCCGGCCAACGCCCTATATTTTCGCTTAAATTCGCATAAAATAGACAATTTTATACCTTCTTTATATCCTTAAAATTCACGAGAAAGACTTAATTGGTGATTGAAATTAGTTTTCAGCAATTAAAACACAGCACTTTATGTTTAATTAAACTTTTCTTTTTTTTGGTGAAAAAATTAACCAAGATATATTTTTTGTTCACAGAAAGTTGCGTCTGAACACTTCAAACATCCGAATCAAAGTGAGTTTGAATATTTTTTCTCCACTTCGGCAATTCTGTTTTTTCTCATCCCCTCCACACATTCGTTACACAAATTTTGTTACCATAAAAGGAAATTTTGAAGCTCCGAACGTGCTGTATGACTGTATTTGTGGATAATAGCCGCAAAAAATAGTAAAATAACAATTTTTCTTCTTTGATTCTGTTTTTTGTGTGCAAATTTCATAGATTTTAGATGCATTTTGTATGAAATTTATGATGAGAAATTTAAGAGACATAAAGAATGGCTGATTTTCATTGCTTTCATCGTGATTTCATTAAGAATTAAGCAAATTATTGTTTTGTCATTATGTATGGAGAAAATAAGGGGAAGTTCTTATAAGACGTTATTTTTTCAAAAAAAAAAAAACTTTAACGGTTGAAAATAAAAGGCAAGAGGTGTCAAGATTGACTTCCTAAACATCTATATGCTTTGAAATCTGGTTTCTAGAAACTCAATATAATTTTTATCGAGTACAATGTCTTTAACGGATTTTCCAACAAAAGATGTGTAAGTAAATCATGAAACCGTTTCAATATCTGCATAATCTATGCTCTGTTTGATTCATATTTCTCTTAATTTCTTCTCGATTTTATTTAAGTTCTGCCGTAGATATTTATTCCATTGAACTTGTGCGAATGGAGCAATAAAAATGTCAAATCACGTGTCACTGAGTGTGAGTCATTTTTCTTGACTTCATTTAATTTTTAACACATCAATTTTTCAATTTAGTCCTTCCGATTTCTCAAATTCAGCAAGTAATCCAATGTTTTTGTTTATTTGTTTTTTGTTTTCGGTATCACATATTTTTGACATTTTTATCACACACATTTGATAAGAGATAAGATATTTTCACTATGATCACTACTTACATTTTTTTGGTTTACTATAAATTGGGTTTTATAAAATAAATTAATGCACTAAACTATTAAGTTTAACGAAAATCTAGCTTAATTATTAAGTTTAAATCCTTTTTAGCTCCTTAGCTTTAATTTAATTGAACGAGATACTCGTATTTATTTTTATGCTACTACACAGCTAGACTTTCAGACTTTCATTGATAAGTTTCAGTCGAAGACCGCTTGATTTTAAATACTTCTCTACTACAAATACGGCAAATCGTTTTTTACATTTGCTGCACATGTCTGTTGCCGCACACGGTTGTATTGGAGTGTATAAAAATTTATTCAAGAAAACAACTTTACCATATATGGAATTGTTTTCCAGTATTTTTTGCTCTTTCCAATACTCTTTAGTTTTTTACTACTACAACGTGCTCGCTAGACAGCTTTTTGATATCATGACACATTCATATTTCTCATAAAAATTACTGGGCATGAATCATGAAAACTACACTTTCATCTAAATATGAGCATAGCCAAAACTAGTGCGACAATAATAATAATATCCAGTAATGTTTCTGAACTGAGTGACTCTTTCATCTCATGAGTATTTGTGTACATATATGTGCATGACATGACGATGATATTGTCTGTATGATAGACAGACTGACTCAAACTGGCAACATCTCCTCTCTCGGCTCAGCTTCTGATAAGGGAATGAGTAAGGCATGTAAATTTAGAACTTTTTTTCGCAATATCAAAAATATTATAATATTTTTGTGACACAACAATTATTGTTGTCTAAAAAGCTTTAAATTTTCATTATTCAGTGCTTATTTATGTTTTTATTTGAATTAATGAGGAAAATATTATTCATTGCTACTGATATATATCAAGTTTGTATGTACGCATGATAATTGTTTGTATACATTATTCAGTAATACACAGTTTTCTCATTGACAAAGTATGTAATGTTAGGCAAGTGATGAATTGACATTAAACGGCAATAGAACTAATGAGTTTTTTGACAACAGACGAGTCTGTGGAATTCTTTTAATGAATTTATAAATGGGAATTGACGAGATTCTTATGTTTGTTGGTTAAGGTAAGTTTTTCCATTATTTAAAGTTATTTTTTACCCTCAATTGATCTTGACCTTAAAGGTTAACTGAATTATGAAATTCCTCACATCTAGAAAACATTTTCCATGTTATCGTTGGGACTTGTACAGTAATGCATACTGACAATTTTCAGCGAATTTGTTGATATGATATACAAATCTATTATGATAATATTTTGATGCATAATACAGCAACTCATGGTCATTACCCTAGATTAGATTAAATCACTGACGAGCATGTTCCAAAATGTTTTTATAATGTATTACTTTCTGAACATACATTGTTTTTCACATGACTCAGTGATAGATACTTTTTTGTGAATCACTAGCTTCCTGAATTTGATTTATCTGGAAGGAAGTTCATTAAAATTGTTACATTAGATTGTATTAGAAATGTTTTTGTTTTATACAATATAAAACTTTTAAGATAACTCGGGTCTGGTCCAAAAAACTTTATCTATTTTTACTCAAATCTTGGGTTTTTAAGCTGAGAATAGGTCAATTTAAAAAACCTAAAATAGAAATGATAAACGTAGATATCTCAGTTTCATAGAACGAATGAAGCTATGAAATTTAAGTAGGTCTTTACAGATCTAAATATATAACAGGTATGGAACCTAGAATGTATGATTAAATGAAGCAACATTTAGCAAAACTGATAAAATTTAAAGAGTTTAAAAGGTATTTGAATATTCTGTCCACATCCCTGAATATGTAAATTGATCTAAGAATCTTATTTGTTCGAGAATTCTTATTTTTACCTGCGAAACAAAAAAGGATTTCGAAGGGAATTTCTTACCCTTATATCCCATTGATTCTTAAATGTTTTAAAATTGAACAAGGTAAACAAACCTTTCTACCCTTATTAAGAGATTAAAAAGCGTGTAATAAATGAACGACTTCCAGAAAGGTAGTTTAGCATTCTTAAAAGATATGATTTAGCTAACGTCATTTCCAAAAGTAACTTTAAGTATTATCATTTGACACGTTTGCAGATAAATTTTATCAAAAATTCAATGAATCATTACTAAAATGTCAATTTCTAATCTAACAAGATTAAAACATTAAAGCGCCTCCAACGATTAGGTTCGTCAGTAAAGCTAAATTAAGAACTAGCATCAGTTTAATTGAAGATCTATCAACATTGCTTCCTAAGCCATTGAAAGTCAATTTTAAAGTTTTTAATTTTAACATGTTTTTCGTCGAGACCCGCATGGAATTTAATTTTTATCTTTATGGATGTAGAGGAAATAAAACGATCTTTTGTCAAAGCACTTATTGTGTTTTGCTAATTATATACACATTTTTTGGTTACTTTATGTTCTCTATCATACACTCCCTGTACTTAATTTCCATTATACTTGTGACTCTATTGATGCATAGCAATGTTTATGTTAATCATTTTTTGTGAAGTACTTGAATCTCACTGCTTCTCATTGTAAATACATGTTTTAAATGGGATCAATTTTTATAGCTCTATGCGATATAAAAAGCATTCAATATTACATTGGACTGCATAAAGCATAAAACTAAATTTAGATATGAAAGAATGAAGAACTGTATGCAGCAAAACTAGTTCTCTTTTCCTTCGCAAAAAAATTATTTTTTTCTTCTGTATCAACATATACAGGAACAATGATGATGTTAAGTTAACATAAGAAAAAGAAAAGTACTTAACACAGTGTTTGTGCCATGAAAAAGAGGAAGAAAACTATAAGTTGCTCAACTCACATAATCTCTTCTTCTTTTCATAGCGGGGTCATTAAGAGATGGTGTCAGTGAGACGTTTTTAACCATGCTTCTTCCAGGATACAGCCACAAAATATTGATGTGTTTGAGGTTATGATTCTTATGTCAAATTTTGCTGTCTCAATTCGGTAAAGTCAAAAGAAATGGCTAAATCTTAACCACGATAAAGCACCTCACATCCCTTTATTATCAAACGTCATTTATGTATGAACCTCAATTACATTTCATTTATTTCTTATGCATACTCTACGGCAGAATTCCTCACAGTTTCTCGATTTGCCAGCTCGCTTTTTTTCATTCCCATAATTGTGGGCAGTAGCAAGCAGCATATTATTTAACTTCAAAGTAGAGAATACGGTAAAATTTTGTTGTTTTGTATTTGCTGCTGCTGAAACTCATTCAGATCTTTCTTTTCTTATTCATTTCATATACACATTTACACATATTTTTACTTCAATCGGCATTTTTATAACGTTGCATTTCAAATGATTATGGAGCTTATGATTATGACTACTACATAATTTTAATAATGATTCTTCTCTCTCATCTCCGCTGATGATTATTATAATTTCTTTTCACATTATTAATGAAACCAGAAATGAAAAGAAACAGGCATGTCAAAAAATAAATAAAAGAAAAGTATTTTTGGTATCAGTTTTAATAAAGTACTTTATTAAAGACTGCAGTTAACAACTAAAACAGTCTTTGAAGATGTAACGATGAAAAAATATAATAAAAATTTAATAAGTGTTAATTTAGAAGCATTTTCTGTGAACAATTGATGGGCCAGATTCGTCATATTCTTGCTTGCTGATCCACATTTGTTGGAAGGTTGAGAGTGAAGCCAAGATTGATCCTCCGATCCAGACAGAGTATTTACGTTCTGGTGGAGCAATGATCTTAATCTTCATTGTTGATGGTGCGAGTGCTGTAATTTCCTTTTGCATACGATCAGCAATTCCTGGGAACATTGTAGTACCTCCTGAGAGGACGGTGTTGGCATACAAGTCCTTACGGATATCAACATCGCACTTCATGATTGAGTTGTATGTTGTTTCGTGGATTCCATTGGATTCCATACCAATATATGATGGTTGGAAGAGGGTTTCTGGGCAACGGAATCTCTCGTTTCCAATTGTGATGACTTGTCCGTCAGGTAATTCATATGATTTCTCTAATGAGCTTGATGAAGCAGCTGTAGCCATTTCTTGTTCGAAGTCCAATGCAACATAGCACAATTTTTCCTTAATATCACGAACGATTTCACGTTCAGCTGTGGTTGTGAATGTATAACCACGTTCTGTCAAAATCTTCATGAGGAAGTCGGTTAAATCACGTCCAGCCAAATCAAGACGAAGGATGGCGTGTGGAAGGGCATAACCTTCATAAATTGGAACTGTGTGTGAGACACCATCTCCTGAATCTAAGACAATACCGGTTGTACGTCCTGAAGCATACAATGAAAGAACAGCTTGGATTGAGACATACATGGCTGGGGTATTGAAGGTTTCAAACATAATTTGTGTCATCTTCTCTCTGTTGGCTTTTGGATTTAATGGGGCTTCGGTGAGGAGAACTGGATGTTCTTCTGGTGCAACACGAAGTTCATTGTAGAATGTGTGATGCCAGATTTTTTCCATATCATCCCAGTTAGTGACAATACCGTGTTCAATTGGGTATTTCAAGGTAAGAATACCACGTTTGCTTTGAGCTTCATCACCAACATATGAATCCTTTTGTCCCATACCAACCATAACTCCTTGATGACGTGGACGTCCAACAATTGATGGGAAGACAGCTCTTGGTGCGTCATCACCAGCGAAACCGGCTTTGCACATTCCTGAGCCATTGTCAACGACTAATGCGGCAACTTCTTCATCACACATTTTGACAGCTAATTAGAAGAACAAATGGTTAGAAATTAGTATAAATTAGCAAGTTCAGCAGCTTTTATCATTTTAGGGCGTTGGTTAATTTGTCAAAAAGTTTTCTTGATCATTCGATATTACATAATCCATAACCGTAATGAACTTTACTGCCCTAATTCCATATTTTGGCATATTTTTTTATTTTTTTGGCACCATTGGGATTCACAAATGACCACCGCAACTTTTTTTTCAGCACAAAAATATGCAAATATACAACAAACTTACTTTTTTTAAATTATAATATTTTCTGATGATAAATAACTCAAAGCGTTGACTTTAGATAAGCCACTAACCGATGAAAAACTAGAATTGAATTGAAAATCACACCTGCAGTCTAATTTATGTGCACGAATATTTTTCTGCTATCTTTATCAGCAATATTGTTATCAGTTTCGCAACGTCACTTTATTCGTAAACAGTGTGCGTTATCAGTAGGAATGATATAATTTTCAACATAACTCGTGATTACCGTGCTGTTTTTTCATGAAATTATTCAATGTGTGATAAGAATAATTATTGGTGTGGTTAAAGAAGGCACTCGATAATCATCGCATACTTTCAAAGAAATCAATTTTAAAACTGATGCATTAAAATTCTAACAATTGAAACTTATTTTTTGCCGTTCAACACACCCAGCATGCTTATCAACAAACACCTTACAATTTTTTCTACCTCTACAATTGTCAATTGTACTTTTTTCGTTCCCAAATATGACCATATAAGGCAATAAATTTGCTCTCATATGAAATGAGATTGACTTTTATGTCATTAATTGGTCAATGATATTTTTTACAGTAGAATTAGACAATTATGCAAAGCATCGTCACAATTGATGATTGAAATGTCAGGAAATTGGTATTGAACTTTTACTCTATAGATTTCATTCAATGTGTTGTTGTTTTTGAAATGCGGCAATTGAAATTCTCAAAAAAAATATGTTCAAAATAATATAATCATCATATCTGCTCTTGATTGTTACCACTTCAATTCATAGGAAAATTTGGCAATGCAGCATGAAACATGCAAATAAAAGAAATGCTCGAAGCTTAATGCGAGAAAAAGAAAAACTTTATATTTAGTTCATTTATGCCAGCTAACGTATCTTTTTACATACAGATCAATATCTTAGCAGTAAGCTTATAGCCACATTTCGTTCTGAATTGTCTTCTTTTTATTGTCGTCTTTTGTATTATTGACCAACCTCGTCATCAATCTTTTTAAAATCTTTATTGTTTAAACTCGATCAATTTTGACGATGAAATTCGAAATCGGTTGCTAATCAGTTTGAAGAACTTTATTGATTTTCTGAATGGAAATTGGAATTGAGGAAGGATTACTAGCTTATCAGATATGTCTAATACCCGACCTAGGTTTCTAACATTACATTATTTTGTTGAAAGTAATTGGAATCTTAAGTATACTTTATTGGACGACTGGTGTGGATTTATGAGGATTTATGCAAGATGAACCAAAGATGTTGTTGGACTAGAATCTAATAAAAAATTATTTTTAACTTAACATATTTAAGTTGGGATAGGTTAGGATAGGTTGAAATATTAGCATTTCACTCTTTTTTAAAAATTTTCAATTTTAAGTTTTTGACAGAGCTTGATAAGAGTGACTTTTAGAGCCTTAGTATTAAAACTTCCCTATATAGATAGAGAAGTTAAAAAGCAAGCAGGGGTTTGAGAGTAATGTGACCAAAAACGTAGCTAAAGATGGAATAAATTTTAATTTTTCGCCATATCATTCAATCTTGCTCCACTCCAAGCTACTCCTTTACCCAAAGCCTCAAAGCCATTTCTTATTGCATTCATTACTTTCTATAAAAGTTATATTAATGTCTGACAATTTTCGTCCTACGTGTTCAGCCTAGACAACAACAAACAATTCATAAAACAACACTGAATTTAAATCAAATTAACATGAAAGCAAACTCGTTTTTATATGTTTTACTAGGGACCATTGACTCATATTCGTAATTTCCTTTTCCTTTATTTCTTTTTAAAATTTAATATGCAATGAATGTGCTCCCTACTTTTTATAAATAGTTTTATGTCATCGAAGGAAGACTGATTTGTTTCTTTTTCTTTTCTTATGTGATGATTCATCAGCATTGCCGGTGCATATCAATTTTTTCCATTCTTTTTTTTGTGAGAAATTAATTCCATTGACCCCTCCGATTCATTTTGTGTCTATGCATGAAACATTTTCGCATTGCAAATATACTTTTTTTTTGAATATTTATTTGTATACGATTGTGAGAGAGTTCAAGGATTCAATGTTCTATGCGTGGGACGATGACTCACTCGAACTTCCCTTTTTATTCCGATGATGTAGAGATGAACGGAGAAGAGAAAGAGAAAAATTGTCGGGTGAAAAGTACACAAACAAATCTATAGCAATTAAATATTGATTTTTTTTTTTGTTCTAGGACGGTTGATATATCCGTAAAATAATAATATCCTGAAATTAAATTATGCAGAACACACGACTGTCTGTATAAATCCATCTCTTGAGATTTCAAATGAATTGAATCAATTGATGGTAAAATAAAACATGGAAAATTCATTTTTATGGAAGCAGAAGTAGAAATAAATTTCCAAGTTTTAACGGCATGAGACTCATGTGTGTTGTTTTATGAGGACATCAACACGTGGTGAAAACAGACTACGCATGTCTGCAAAGTATCTACTTTTTTTCTGCAGACATCCAAAAAATTTTTTCTTGAGGCTGCTGTGCTCTCTGGATGTATGTCGAAAAAATCACTAATACAATGCCGAAACAAGTTAACGACATTGCTACTTATGTGCCTGCTTCAATTCTTCAGAGCATAACAGAAGAAGAAAGCTAAGAAAGCGAAAATTAAACGGAATAGAGTAGGAAGCTGAACGAATATAAAGTAAAATTAATGCAAATCCCTTAAATCTTTAATTCGATTTTAAATGTGGATTATTATAAATATTGTAAATACAATTGTGCTGTACAAAGAAAAAAAGTTGATTATATTGCTCATTGTGTTGACGATAATCCGCGGCATAGTTATGAATAGCACATATTTGCACATTTTAAAAAACCGCAATGTCAATTGAATTAAAGAAGGAGGCAATTTTTAAGCACATTATGACTCAGCCAAAAGGAAGATGATTTCATTCGAATACCAGTATATTGATAGGAAAGTTGATAAAAATATCAAAATCCAGCAAAATACTTAGAAAACCAATGATTGATAACAAAACTGCTCATAGAGATAAATGTGAGATTTATTAAAAAGGAATTTATAACCTCCGAAACTACTAAGCTTATATTTGTTTAACATTCCAAGGATACAGTTAAACAATTCAATAAAAATAATTTCAGAACAAATATCTTATAAGATACAGACTGCTCACCTGCACTCACAAAAGTTGATATAAACAAGACTTTAGATTTTAGTTTAATTCTTAAAGATCTAAACCATACTGTGGCAACCTGAGTGTCGAATTCCTTCGACACTCAGTGTCGAAGGATTTAAAAATGTCGAAGGAAAGTCGAAATTTTAAATTTTTTTTGACCGTTGAAAAAAATCAAAAAATAAAAGTAAACAAATAAAAATTTCAGTCATAATTTAATCAATTTTGATATTTTAAAGTATTTGAAAACATATTTGAGTGATTTATTTTACGAATTTGATATTTTATTATGGATAAGTGTTGTGTTCAGTCATGTAGAAAATCGCGATCGAATAATTTAGCACTCTTTCGTATGCTTGCCTACTGATCCTATGAATGTAAAAAACTGTTAAAAATATGCAAAATTGTTAAAACATGTCTAATTCGTGATTTTACTTTAGATTTCCAAAGTTTATTTTAGCATTAGTATTTCAACGGTTTTTTAAATTTAAATTTTTAACGGTATTTTTTTTTTTCAAATAAAAAATAACGGTCATTTTCGACATTGCCACAGTATGATCTAAACTTAAAAGGTTTTTTTGGATTTCAAAAAGAGTTTAAGAAAGTCTCCTGGACATTTTACAATATGGCTGTAGAAAAAGTCAAGAAGCGTTTGATTTACATCTACAGAAAGATTTTTAATCAATCATGACTGATTAAGCTCTTGGTGTTTTTTAATCAGCCAACAAAAAAATTGTACGTCTTCAAAAATTTAAGAAAAATTCAAAAAGTTGAATCTATGGTATTAATAACATTTAATCGCACGCTTGAACATTAAGCACAATAAATATTATTTTAAAACCATTTATGGAAGTGAAGTCTAATAATGATGGATATTAACAATCAATTAAGCATTGAGTTACGAGGAAAGAAAAAAATATAATGGAAGTGAAAAAGAAGAAAAATGTGTAATTGGCTGTCAGGTCATTCACATAGCCATGTTTACATTTTTCTCTATGTACTTTTAATGTTTTGATAAATATTTTCATCATCATTCCTTTCTATTAAAAAACAGCAAACTTGCTTAATTAAAATTTAATTTGGAATGTACACATGGGACATGACAGCTCGGTTTGAATGTGTTAAAACCTTATATATTAATTATCATAGATACATATTCATATGTGAGAACTGCCATAATAGGTCGCGTTGATCTATCTATTTTAGGCAAAAAACTTTTTAAATCGATGGCCTTTGAAGCATGGTTGCTCATTTCACTTTCATTTTTGGTATGAACTCGTCATTACTTATAAGTACTCTATACGTTATTATTATTATTATTTATTGTTATTTGCCATGAGAGTTTTTAACTATTTTCTTCTTCTTGCACCATATCGTGTTTAAATACAATAGGTAAAATTGTTTGTACTCCGAAACTTGAAAGGCGTTTCGAAGTTTGCATAGTGAAAAGAGCTTGCAAACTACCTTGAAGCGAGAATCGTTTTGAAATTTATGAATTAAGGAGAAAATTTTGATTTGAAATTTTTGACATGTGCTCATAAACCGTACAATTTTTTAGAACTATCAACAGCATGTTTTGGAATTGAAAGTTTTTTTTATCAGTTTAAACATTTGAAATTTGTTATGACTTCAAACTTCAAAACTAGACACATTAACATTTAAAAATAGCATTAATCTTCAAATTCCTAAAACTCGTTTAAATCGTAAACCTTTTAATCCTACTTGTCCACATAAAATAAAATATAAATTTCCAATAAGATTCCATCCACTAGAAATTGCCATTTTTGTCAACACTATTTTATTTTCATAACAAATCACCGTTTTATTGTATTACAAATTCTCAAGGTTTACAGTAATCTTATTAAGCAGCAGTATTATCTTCAAATTTAGACATAAAACTTTTCGCAGTTCAAATCAGTTCATTTTATGACTATATTTTATATTATGGAAACAACTCATGAGCTTTATTCATAATCAAAGCATGATTTCATCAACAGAAATATTTTAGTCATTTTTCCTATATCATGCATTGCTTATATCACAAACGATGACGTATGCTTGGTTACTCGGGGTTACTCCATCCAGTTTTTCGCATTAACAAATTAAAATTGTCGCTACTATCTATGAGTCATGAAAATGAAATCTTTCAACTCGGTGCAAAACATAAACAGACATGCCCTGAAACTCTTTAAAGACGTCTTCATAATATACAGGTTGGTGGGGGAGTCGTTCAATTATTATGTGTTTATAACTTTTTTTTTTGAGATGGAACTGACCTCCCCGCCAACCCTGTCCTCAAAATAGCAAACGTATTAATGGAACGATCTTATACGGTAGTCTTTTGAGTAATTGATTCGGATTTTAAAACCCGGCAATGATTTCACCTGCTCAAAAATGTATGGAATCGATTAATTTTTTGTTCCCCCATGAAATCTCTGTTGGAAGTGAATGCAAATGAAATTTTTCGAATATTTTACGGTGAAATATTTTATTTTGTGTGTGATTTTTAAATTGCATCAAAAAATTATTATTGCGTGTTTGATTATAAACAAAATATTTGTGTGGTTAAGCGCGGGGAGAAATAAAAGCCGGTTTTGACTCACTGTGTAATTTGACACTTAATACTACTGAAGCAAGATATTTCAATATTCATATCTCATGCATTTTTCAGCTTCTCTCGTAACATTTCTCATAGCGTTTTGTGGAAAAATGTGAATAACATGAAACGCCGGCTCACAATATTTGCAAAAGCTAATTGAACACGTTTTAGCAATGAACTTCAACAATCTCTTGCATGGAAAATGTTTACTTTTTACGATTTAACCTTCAGAATGAATCAGCTATTGAATATAATGAAAGAAAATTATTTACTTTGGTATGAGACGTTAAAATGACTCATCTTCTGCTATTTAAATATTGTTTTTGAGAGGTGACTACCAGGGGCGTAGCCAGAAAATTTTAAAGGGGGGGGCCCATTTCCGAAAATTAAAAAACCGTTATTTTGTATCCTTAAATCTACATTCATTCTTCATAAGTTTAAATATTTAATTCATTATTCATAGATTAAATTTAATTTTTCGTGCTGATTTTGACATTTCTTTCATCACTTCCTCTACATTAACTGGTTCTTCTCTATAAATACTTAATAAAACAATCATCAGATTTTCGTAGGGGGGGGGGGGCCCGGGCCCCCTATGGCCCCCCCCTGGCTACGCCCCTGGTGACTACGTATTGATCAATTGATTATTATAATGTTTTGAGAAGTGCTTATTGAATTCTTTGAAAAATGATGACTTAAGCGCTGAAATGAAGCACAGATAGCATGTAGAATTTCTGCCTTTAAAAGTAATCATCTTTCAAAGGAAATTTAAAGAATTTAAAATTTTCAGTTCACAAAAGTTCAAATTTCGGAATTTATAGGGTTTTCGACAATTTAAATATTAGAAAGTCGTTGATAATTAAATTTTTTCTGCTCTGTTGCTTCACTACTTAATTAAATTAAGTTAATATTTTTAGATTATGTTGAAAGTGTGCTTAATTGATCTGTATCATCTGTAATTTAATTAAAGAGTAAAATATTCCGATGCGCTGTTTCAATTAAGGGCTAAATTGTTTTTGATCTTCATGTTCATTAGTTAACTTAATAAAGCTGATATTTGCATACATTTAATTATAAAGCGACGAGAGAAAGTTGTGCAGACATTAAATATTATTATTATTATGCTTCAAATATTTCATTTTATGACAATCATAATCGATTAAAAGCACAAAGGAAATTGCCATATCATCAGTCCATTAACCCAGTCAAACCGAAAATATCCAAAAATGTTCATATTTATTTGCAAAATGTGTTGAGAATATCAGTAAATATTCAATTATGGTCATGAGTCAATTGACAAAAATTTTAAAAAAATTTATTTTATGCTCACCATAACTGAGTAATTTAAGACATCCACATAAAAAGTTTATAGCTTTAAAGTAAAACAATATTTCAATAAATATTTTAATGCTTTTGTTGTTGATAAGTAAGTCAAACTTATTTAGCTATTTCTTCAAGTAATTATGTTGCTTGGCATTTAATTAGCTTAAAGAATGAACAATAGAACAAAATACCACCATGCTAGCTTTTTCCATTTCAAAATAATAATTGGATTTGCGAAATAAGTAAAGTGGTTTGAAGAGAAATTGGTGTCATCGTCAAATTGACTGAGTCTTGTTATTCACATGTATTTGATGTCTCGTGACAGATATAAGGCGATCATTTGCTAATGACGTCATTCAAGAAATTGGAATTTTGGACTTTCCTGATTCTGTGTGATGACGTCATGGTGAATCCAAATAGAGGAATAGAACACAAGATGATCAAGTCACTACAAACTAGAATCTGAATTAAACATTAGACAAAGTAAACAGTTAAAGTAAACATTAGACATCATCTTCAACTTCACAAGTGGATTACTCCCATTCAGACTTAAGAAATTGCCTCAAAAATTTAATTGAAACGGAAAATCAGATTTGATCGACACTGGAACCGACCGTAAAGATACTAAGTGAATAATTTATACATTTTTGGAATGATAATTGAGCGCGTGGGGATACAAAAGTATTCAAGATTTATAAAAGGGGAATGGCTGAGACAAATTAGTTATCAATGGGCGTGTAAAGTATAAAGAAAGTCCTTATATGGAAATTAACAAGTCATCGGAATTCAAAAATTTGTATAAATGATCATAAGTCAGCAGTTGAGTGACTAGAGCATTTCCCTTGCATCGGAAGTAGAATATATATTGTACATGACGCGTGCAAGAATAATAAGATAATCTCAAGCATGAATACATTCATATCTCAGCACATAAAATGCAGTATATAGTGTGGCAAGTTCATTGTCTGACTATATAAGTAGAAAAGTATTTCATTTTTCATTGAATACCATTTAAGGTTCTTCCGACGTTGTAACTTTTTTTAATTGGCCTCAACATTATCTCTTCCATTGCCTTCCTTCCACAATACATTTTCATTATCATAAATGGTATTGCACATTAATGCCATGGTTGATGATGAAAGTAATAGCAGAAACCTCTAATTACCTTTCTTCTTTTGTTTATATACAGACAGCAATGATACATGTGAACAAGTGTCTGTATTACCGTAGAAACATAGAAATAGAAAAGATATGATTATTATTATATTATTTGAAATGTAGCTCAAGTTCACGGTGATTTATATTCAACTCTGCACAACCGTAAAATAAAGGTTGGTGCTGTAAGAGAAGAATTAAGTAAAATAATATTAATTCTTGAAATAAATATTATCGATTTCTTAACGAAAAGATTTGAAGATTTTTGAACTCAATTTTTATATCAAAAATTGATGATTTATGATTTCAAATTCTATGTTCCATACTAGTTTGCAAGCCTGACTGTTTATTTTAACCGATTAGATCTGTTTACAAATGCGTTTTTATAATTTTTAACAACCGACACTTATCAACATTTTGAGCAAGCCTTTCCTCAACAGTCAAAATTGATTATTGAGTTCAATAAGCTCACATTTTTCACGTCTTTAAGACATCAAATTGTTGTTATTCTATAAATATCCAAAAAAGAGAGTGTTGATGTTAGTTAAAGTTAAACGGGAAATAATATTTGCTTTTCTTTTGATAAATTATACAAAATTATATCTATTTTCTTATGTATTTTATGATGCTTTCTTATGTTTTCTCTCATTTGAGATGTGAATTGATCAGCAATGTTAACAGCAAGCACCAATAGTATCCGTTATGTGGAAATTAAAGAGCATTCATATGACTGTTATGTAAGCGAAAATTGGAACAATTCTGTTAAATTGGGGGCAATAAACGATTATAAATACATCTTGTAGTCATTTTTCATGAATATCGTGCAGATTCCACACTCCTCTGGTACAAAATAATTGAGTTGAATCTTCTTATTTGGAATTGCAGCTACTGATCGCGTTTAATTACATTTTATTTATCATATTCACACCAACTTTCCACTGTATGTTTGGATTTTAATTAAAGTAAATTAATTACCTTAAAAGCGTTCAGCATCAAGAGTTTGTACCTAAAATATCAATTTGACTGTCAAATTTGGTGTAGATTGTGTATTTATGTAGCCAATTAACATCCAGTAACAAGCAATTTTTGGAATTACTCGCATATTATAATTCTAGCTACTCGTATCTGAAAGATATTTATTTACTCACATGTATTGATTTGAGGAACATAAAACTAGTGTATCGGGTAGAAACCCAATGCGGATTTATTCACACCGTACCATCAAAAGTCTTATGGATAGACCAAGATTTGCTCAGCATAAGTTTGAAGGGTGGGCGTGAAGTACGACCGAGACCCATATCGACACAGTTCAAAAGTTATACCTAATTTATGTCATAATTATGTCAGCTACAAAAACACTTAGTTTGAATTTTGTCACCCTCAGGAACACTTTGAACCAGTATAGCTAATTTTGGTCCAAATCTCGGCCATACTTCACACTTATTTGAACCACATTTTCTCGTAAAAGTTAAAATATTATTAAAAAGTAATTAATCCTGAATTATGTCGCTATTTTGTCAAGTGTTTTAAGATAAAGAATTTGTTTTTTAGATTCCACAGTGAAGAGCATGAACAAAATTCAGATGGGGTAGTCGAAATTGAAGATTTCGATTTTTTTTAAGCTATGCATTATAAATAGTAATATTGGTATGTGATTTAAGTCAGAATTATGTCAATTCAAATAAAACATCCAAAAAAATTTTTT